CTGCCCCTACAGAGTTAGCATGGCTATCACTGCCCCTACAGAGTTAGGGACTACTTTCCTACTTCTTTGATTTTATTCATTTTGCTCAGGCTACTCGTAAGCCCACAGCCCGCTGAATGATAAAAAGGGCAATATTATTGCCATTCCTGTTAATATATAGAAGAAATTTTACACATTCAGTAATAAAATGTCACAGGAGATGGTATGGGGAGATGATCATTTAAGAAGGGGGATGCCTTCCCCCCTCATCCCCCTTAACTCGATTGCTGGGTATGCTGATCTGACAGAACACCGGTGTTCCATCTGATTTCATTTAAAAATACTTCTGGCTTTTTAAGTTCAGGTTCTGGGAAGTTGAAGATAAAAACTTTTCAAGCCTTAGGGAACGTCGTATGTCGTGGAGAAGAACGCTTTATAAATTCCTACAGGCTGCTGAAAACAGGAAACCTGTAATCAACTCTTCTCTGCTTACAGGATTTATTTTCTTTTGTACAATCAGTTCACTAAACGGCGTGGAAAGATGGCCAAACTTCATCTCCTTCATTTGTTCTTAGCTTATAGAGACGCCATTTTGAGTCTTTACCGACTAACTCCTGTGAATCCGGATTGCAGGTGACCTACAGAGTGATCCAGGTGTCGGATGGCCAGCTGGAGGCGCAGACAGACGGAGCCGCAGCCGTCAGTCTGGTCGCTGGGTTTCCTGCAGCCACACAGACTGTCACCCAGGTGAGAAAACTGTCCTGTGACCTCACAGCGAGTTTTCCATGGAAACAAAACAAATTCCTCTGTAATTAGAAGTGGCTTCTCCTCTCAGTCCGCTCAGATCTTTATTCAAAGCTTGACTGTTTCTCAGGCCGTCATTTCCCAGCCGGACGGGTTGGAAGTGGACGGCTGCGCTGAGGCTCAGTACGCCTATTACCCAGCCTCCATTGCAGACGGCAGCGCCGGTACCATGGTGACCGCAGTACAGGCACCCGATGCACTGCTGGGCCAGAACACCCCCACAGGTGAGCTGTGATGCTGCGGAAAGGCGGCAGACCTGAACGCAACACTCATAGTAATTAAGGATTTATCTTAAAGGTCAGCTTTACGTGATGATGTCACCACAGGAAGTGTTAACAGGATCCAATCAGAGGACCATAGCGCCACGTACTCAGCCATACGTAGCGTGAGTAGATCCACAGTCATCAGAACGCTCATCTGAGCAGTCCTATAACCCTTCGGTGGGTTGCCGGTCCGAGCCCCCAGCTCTCTGTCAGTCTCAGACGTTGTGTCCTTGAGCAAAGTGTGTAGGCCATTTAGTGTTCATTCTGTTTGCAGAAAGCAAGAAGCTCCTCGGGCCTCCAGGGATGAGAAACGGCGAGCTCAGCATAACGAAGGTTGGTCTGCGTGTTCTGAACTCCTCTGGTTTATCAACAGCTTTCTGATTTCTGTGACGCTCTGATCTTCAGAAAAAAAGTTTGATTTGATTCCATCCTCCATTTAAGAACAATCATATAAGAAGAACGTTTATGTTATCTGTAGCTGCTTTCCTGTGGTGAGCAGCAGTAAATGAATAAAATGTGGAGCAGTAGAAAAAATGTACAAATAACACGTGCCTCTAGTTTTAATACCAAACTAGTACTGTATCCTGATAGAGCATTTGAGTATACATAGTTCTCACCCACGGTTTTAACTGGATACCAGTAAGGCTACACAGATGTGGTTTCCAGATTGTGGGAAATTCCAGAGCCCAGAGAGAACTCCGCTTCCTGCATTATGGCAAAATATGGCAACATGGAATATTAGAAAAAAAACGAATTCTAGACTAT